TCCATTAATGTAGTACAATGTAAAATGTAGTACAAAATGTAAAGTTGGCCTAGTTCATTACTTTCACACTCTAAATTTAAATAATATTAAATTTTAAGGACATTTGTTGATTATTTCTCTTTATATGAGCAAAAATGAAAAAATCGGCTCCCAAAATGGTTCGATTCCCGAAGTCTAACACATCTTAAAAACATCACATAAAATTTTATCAAAATCGGTTCAGCCGAATTTAAAATACACGCAGACAGTCACATACAGACCGTCAGACGGACAGGTCAATTGTCAGACAGTTCGACATCTCAACGTGCCCGCTCAAAGGATGTACACCTATTCAAAAATTAGATGCGTATTTGCTACACTAAATAAAAGTTTGTTAAAACTTAGATTCTTTTATTATCTCTATTTCCTCAAAATTTGATGTAACTGGCTAAGTTTCAAAACTGGGGTGAAACGACAGACCCTAGACAAACTCTATTTTCATAATATTATCAAAATTATATGATCTTAATTTACTTGAAAGAAGTTTTTAGTCTTTCCTTAAATGCACAGAAAATTATTTGGAAGTAACTATACTCTTTCATACTTAAGTAATTGAATAACAATAGTTCGTATTAATAATGTAAATTTGTAGGGTGAGAAATTAATCAATAAATTTTATTATTTCTTTTTTCGTTTTTTTATTAAATTAATAATAAATTCGTAAAATATTAAAACTATTGTTACATAAAATTTTTCGAGTTTTGCTCTTATAAAAAACAAAAATTTTGTACTTAAATTTGTTTTGGTAATTGATATAAATTTAGTAATAGCAAACATAAGAGAAAAATTAAAATTAATTGTCTCTGAACTCTGTTAATAAGCACTTTAAAAGTGTTAAGTATGGATGCAGCAGATTCGATTATGCTATGTCGCTGGTTGAATAACTACTAAATTTTCTAATTTTACAAAAGACTAAATTGTATTGTTAAAGGTAAAATTTTTTTTGTAAATTATATTTAAATAAAATTCCCATATTAACAAAATTCAATAAAAATTTAATTATTATTACTAAACTATTAATATTGCAATTACTATGACTTAGTCGTTCGAGTTGTTTTTGAATTAATTTTTTTAGGTACAAATTAAACCCAAAAATTAATAATATTAAATTTAATTAAAATTCATTTTTAAAGAAACGAAGTAAGTATAACATATATTTGGTAAACATATTAATTTATTTGAACCTATTTTCTTATAGCTTCTAAGTGCATACCAACAGAGGTCGAGCCATTTATAACAATTTGAACTGAAGAATCTAAAAGCTCTTAAAGTAGTCTAAAATCAAAGTATAAGTAAAAATCTAAAGTTCTTCAGCCCTGCATGAAATTTTCAGAATATTGTCAAGACACTTTAAAATTTTTAAATTCATTCTTCATTTTTAACACCAAGCTGAAATTTTTCGAGTGCCCTTTTCTTATACTGAGGCACTAACGCATACATGTACGTATAATAGTAGATTCGCGACTGCATAATCTATTTCTTGTGAATTAATTTATGTATATCTGTAATCCATTTAAAGTAAAAATATATTATATATACATATATGTATATAATATTTTTACAATTTATTTTTCTAATTCTTTACAAATTTTCCAAGTTTTTGAATATTATGTAAGTTTGTGTGTATGTGTGTATTTTAAGTTAAAATTAAGTTATAATTTTGAATTGCAGTTAAAATATTTTTCATATTAATTTTGCCACGAATTAGATAATCGATAATACAACAAAATTATATAAAATGATCAAACGATAATTACTATGCACACATTCACCCTTACACATACATATCTACATACTTCCAATATACTTATATTCTTTAAAAAGTAATCGTACCTAAATAAAATTCATGAAACTGGTTATAAAAATAATGGTTATAATTATGGTTAATTTTATTTTTAACAAAATAATTTTTGAAAAATTTTAATAAGTAATTACAATCGTGCAAATCTAGACTAAGGCATGAAAGCTTTAAATTTTTAAATACAGACGAAAAAAAAATTAAAAATAAAATTTAACATTAAAATTATCTATTATTTTTCTTTCGCTTCAAATATACATACATACATACCTATGTTAAACAAGTTTACCCATACAAACATATTTTTAAATTGTTAAATTATTTTTTTTTAAATTATTTTAATAAAATCAATTTCGACAATGACAGTATAATAGATAGCCTCCTTATAGAATAATAACCTTTTTTTTGTTTGGTTTTTATTCAAATGCATGTTATATAATTAATATGCACGTATAACAGTATGCATGTTATGTCGTGGATATACACATTTTTGGTATTGCATTACAAACGCCAGTGGTGTGAACACATTTTTAGATTTTACGATTCATTGCGGAGTCGTTAATAGCGATCATAATTGTAGAACAATGAATTAGACTTGATAATTAATAAATTTATCTTTATATGCATTTTATGTATTCTTTATTGATTGAACTAATACGAGAAAATTTTATACTAAATTAAAACATTCACTTTCGTAATTAGAACTGACAATATTATATGCATTTTAAAAGGGGTTGAGTTATATTATTATACTTATCAGAAGGATTGACGGATCAAAAAAACAGAAAATAATGAGCTTTTCCAGAAAAACATTAATGAATTTTTGTTTAATTTTTAGAATTCAAAATATATAATTAGCTACTCTGAAGTACAGCCTAAATTTCCTCTTTACTCTTATAATGATAAAACACGATTTTTCATACTTAATTAATACTACATGAATTTGTAAGTAAAATGTAAAAAAATGTAAGACTTTGAAACATTAAATTAAAAAAATTAAAATAATAATTATAATAAAACAAAATTTTTCTTGAAATCTTATTATATAATGTCATTGTATGTACATATTACGTGTGATTGGTTTGCAAAGATAATTATTAAGACTCATTAATGTCCCGATTTATGTTGCATGCAGCATTAATTTGCCGCGGGTGATATTATTTTTATATTTAGCAATACATTAACATTTAATTATAACTAATGAATATCACTTATATATACGCAAATACATGCAAATACATATATGTACGTAGGTCTATAACAAATACAATATGTTTTAATGAAATATAGCATAACTATAACCATATGGTACGTATGTATTTTCATATTATATCGGCAAAATGTACATACTTCTAAGTGTCATATAAAAAGACACGATAATATTGTTTGAAAATGAAACTTAATAATAATAACGTGAGTCAATGTTAGCAGACAACATTACCAAATTGAAAAATTATTTTACATTTTATTAATGATATAATAACGTATTAAAGCTGCTAAGTGATTGCGAGAGGATCAAAATAATTAGAAAAAAACAAAACTTAATAAGTAATTAGAAATAACAATTGAAAATACCAGTAGATTTGTTGTTATTAAACGTTTGTTATATAATATTTATAGCTATTCTACAATATGAAATTATATAATGATCTATAAAATGTTTAAATTTATATTACACTTATATAGCCACGTATACTTATGTAGAATTCTGGAGCATACACGCATAATTAAAGAGCGATTGTGAGAAAAAGAATTTTATAATAAATTCGGATTAAAATGATGGATTGTAAGCTAGCACATTTCCTTCGAAAATTTTTTTTTTAAATTTGTGCTCTTGTTATATTGTGCATTATTCACCAATGAATAAATATTGCATACTTTTAGGTGAATTAGCACAGCGATGAAAAAGGTGAGTTAGAACACTTAATAGTGGTTTTTGATATTTTTACCATTTTTTTTCTTATTTAATAGCGATTTAGAATAACATACATTTTTCTAAAATAAAGAGTCAAAAATTGTGCTAATTTATTAAAAATAATAAATCTTTTCTTAGTTCCTTCAAACTGTTACGATATTTCACTTTACGATACATTATCTAATAGAAGTATATGTCAAAAATTTAAAACACATATTTAAGATGACCTGTTCATTTTAACAATTATTTTGCAGTTGAAATTTTTAATATGAGGCGTCATAACTTCTAAAGGGGTGATTGGACGTAAATAAAAGTTTTTTGCTAGAGAATTAGATTTCAGGGACAGACTAATTGATATATAAAATTTCAGTTTTCTATCCTAAAGGGTGCAGCTTTGTAAGCACTGGCAATATATATTATTACAATATTATGCATATATGTAATATATGCATAATATTGTTATTCCTCAGTAATCTCTTTAATTTAGAAACAGCATGTTTAACACTTTGTTTTCTTTAACTTTAATATTAAATTTTAATTTTATTGATAAGCAACAATTCAAAAAATTATTCAATTTGATATCTCAGAATGTATTCAAACTGCTCATTCTCTACACTATTCATATAACAGCCAAAAATTCACCCTAAACCATTTACACCTACTCTTTGTATTTACAATTGTAGTTTACATCATTAAACCACATTCTTAAGCTTCATTTCACACCCTCCTTCCTACAAACTCATGCACCAAAAAATTAATGTGTAACATAAAATTTTTGGTCAATACTTTAGACACGCACACTTACAAATATAAATTTTTTTTTTATTATTTATTTTTATTTTATAATTTTCACTTCATATATAAATAAGCCAGAGAAATAAAAAGCAGAACCTTTTTGTTAAAGAATTTTCGATCTTGCTTAAACATTTAGAATTTTCTTTTAGTCAACACTGTAATAATGAAAAATAATTCACAACCAAATACATAAACCAAAAGAGTTATAGCAGTTAAACCATGATGCATGTAGGTATGATAAAGTAAAACTGGGTCAGAAAACCGGGTGAACATAGATCGTAACATTTAGGAATTGAATCAATTGCATGATAACTAAATAAATTTTAATTTCCAATTCTATTTTATATGAAAATAAAATTTGAAGAAACCTTAAAATATAATTAAATTTTTATGGAATTTAAATATATAATTTTATATATATATAAATTTAGATGTAAAATTAAGTAAACTTACCTGAAATTCCTTCCAGTTTAACAACAATATTGTTTAAACTATTTTCTGTTATCAGATCCACAACTGCAAAATTTATTTTTAACTTTTAAGATAGAAAAAATTACGTACTTTTATTTATATATATGTCTATTTTGTGTACACAGTTTTATTAACGCTTAGAGAAATGAAGCGTTAAATATTTTTTATATTTTTTATTTTTAATTTTTTTTTTATTTTAAGATTTTGTTTTTATAATTTCACGATAAAAACTCTTTGATTCTCTTTATTTTTCTCTCTTCCTGTCTCTCTCCACCTAGTTTCTCTCTTGCAATTTTCAAAATTTAATATTTCAAATGTTACAAAAATCCCAGATTATTTTCAATTTTATAATATTCAAATAATGTCCTTTTTCATATTTTATTTAATTAAATTCACAATAATTTTTAATGATTAAGCAGCCAATGGAAATCACATTTCCTATTTTTTATAATTTATGTATTTATGTATGTATACCTATTATTCATATAATATACACATTTATACTGATTTATGTATGTATATGTAAATGTTGATTATATATCCTTTCTTATATTTTGTAAATGTATGCATAAATATTTTATGTAAAGAATTTTTACAGTTTTACACCTCTATTTTTAATGTTTTTGTCCTTGTTTTTTATGTTCTCTGCTTTTTTTTTTGTTTTAATTTTGTCAGAAGAAGTGTTAAACTTTCCGCACCTAAATTATCCTAAAATTGTTTGTAAAAAAAAAAAATCCTTTTTATATTATTTTATTTTTATTTTTTGTTGTTATTATTATAAATAATTTTCTGTATACGTATATCCTTTTTGGTTGGAGTTTTTGGTTTTTAAAATTTTTTATGTTGGTTTATGCTTTTTACTATATAGGTTTTTTGTTTGTATAGATTTTTTTGGTTGGTAATGCACCAGGACCGCACATTTGTGCAAAAAAAAAAAATAAATAAATAAAACAAGGAGATTAAAACCTCAGAGAAATTCACTTGGCTTTTTAATGATATTATACAACATCAAGGAGATATGAAAGGAAAAAAAATTTAACAAGGATATAAAATAATTTCAGAAAAGCAAAAAAAAAAATTTCTTCTATAGCAAAAATATTAACCAGTAAAAATAATCATTGCAGTAAATGAGAGCAAAAATATATAGAATCATGCAAAAAAACAAAAAATATTGTCGAAAATTACCTAGTTAGTTAGTTTTCGGAAAATGTACGAAAATTTTTATCAATTACAATAGTTTGAGAGTCAATTACCCTCTTATATTATATTTAGATTATTATTTGTTTTAATTTGCCTGTCCCGTTCAAACCAAACTCTAAATAATAAAAACCAATAAATCTGCAAACGCAGAAAAGTGATAAATAATTATTTGCATCTTAAAATATCATAAGTGAAGTACAAATTTTCAATTTTCGGTCACATATATCTTGAACACTTAAAACCTCATACCTTTCCAAACTTAAATCAAACAATCGGACACATAGAGACTATCAAATTCAATTTTCATGCTAATTTTAAGAAGATTTTGTTTTTATAATTGTTACTTTAGGATTCCACGTAAGCTCTATGTCGGATATTTTGACTTAAAGCAGCTATAAAAATACAAGCTCTAGACCTGAATTGCCTTATAACGACTGATTTGGTCAGTTTACATTATTTGATTTTCAAAAAAAACCAAATGCCGAAAATCGGGGTAATTTTTATTTAAACCTATTAATAAATAGCCGCAGATGGGTGAACAATAAACTTAATTTTCTAGATAAAATATTACGAACTGGAACAAAATGACAATACAATTACAAGACAACATTAGGAATAAGTAATCAAGGCTCAAAAACTAAATTCACCTACATGAGTACGATAATACTTTGAAGAAAGTCAAAAAAAGGGGAGGGTAAAGTGGTACGCTTAAAATAAAAATGTTATCAGAGAGAAATTATTCTTTTTTAATTTTACCTATGTATATAAACGAAATCCTTTGGAAATAAAAATTTTAAAAAGTAAAATCAAAGTATTTAAATAAAAACAAATACTCATTTTATACTCGTATCGTACATTTTTGTATATTTATATCCCTATGTATGCATAGATATATACAGAAATGTATGAAACTAAATTATATTATGTAGCACATACATTTGTACGATATTTGTCTAAATGCAATCTGTATATGTACGTACATATAACAGCTATTTAAAATATATAGGTACACACCTGTAAATCAGAAACCTATGACTAAAATGTTCTTTAATATATTACATTTTCTATATGTATGCAAGTATATGTAAACCAAATAATAAAGAAATTAAGATATTAAAGAAATCCAGTCGTATATAATATGTGTATTATATATATATATATATATATAAACCCAGCATGATAGATAGAGCAAATAATAATAATAACAATAAAAATATAGGAAGAAAATATTAAAACAAAATAATAGAAAAAAATTCGCTTTATGCCAAGAATAAAACACTTTATTACTGAAGCAGTGGTATTAAACGATTTTGCTTCAGTTTTCTATTAGATGAGAATTTGTCGAATCTGTACTAGAAAATAAATATATAAGAATTATATAAAATATTTTTAGAAATTTATCAAAAGGTATTCTTTTTTAAAACTATTTTTAAAACAATCCAGAACACTGTTTTAAACTATGGTTTAAAGGAAAGGATGTGGCAATTAGTTTGATACAATCATAAATAACCTTGTTCTTCGTGAGTATAAAATTTAAAAATATTATTATTTTTGCAGTCACTTGTTTCTTTGAAGTAACAAGCGTTATTCAACTTTTGCAAGCAAGAGTGCAACAATACTTTGTCTTCTAGTCAAAAAAGCATTTTCATATATGCACTTTAAAAGAATTGAAGCAAATAAGTAAACAGCAGAGACGATAATGAAAAAAAGTGTCGTCTGAATTTTCAAATGAAAGCAGCTAAGACTGTCAAAATGATAGCAGCTAATACCTTTTTAATGCAACTTACTAATAAAAGGAATAAAAAATTTGAAAGAAAGAAAAAAAAATAAATCTAGAATTAGTTAACTGCGAGATAAGCTTATTGCTTTCAGATTTCTCCTAAATTTATGCAATTTTTTTTATTTGATGATAAGAGAGCTATTTCACATGCAACATTGTTTTCAATGTTTAGTTTTAGAACTATTTTAAGATTAGATTTTGACTCACATTGTTAAAAATCATGGACTTAGTATAAATTTTTAGAATTCGTTTTTCCAATCTATAGAACTGGCATTGCATTTTTTGTGGCCCATTATAATTAAAAAGTTTATCAACCCTGTAATTTACGTTAACTTTAACTCTTTGCTTATAAAAAAAAAAAATAAAATTTTTGCTAGTTACGTAACTTTGGGATGAAAAGTTTTTCACATTTTTTTCTGTTTGTTTTCGTTTTTGGTGCTTGCTTTCTGTTCGTTTTTTTTTCAGACACTGTGAAAATCTTTTTTTTTATTTCATTTTAATATCGCTTACTGTTTTTTTTTTTCCTGTTTTACTTATTATTATTGTTGTTTTTTTTTACAGAATTTTTATAGCTGATTTTTATTTAGCTTGTTAACACTAAGCTAAAACGTTCAACACCATATCATCTTTAAACGTTTTTCCTTACTTCTTATACATTTTTTTTGTGCTGTTTTTTTCTTTGGTTTCCCTGCTTTCGGGTAATTATAATAATCAAAAAATGTGTTCCCTGTTTATTTTTTTTTGTTATTGTTGTTGTATCTTTTATAACGTGGTTAAAATGAGTAATAAAAAAGAAAGAAACGAATACCCAGAGTTTTTACAAGAAAAAACGAATTTGATTTTGAAAAAGGATTCTACTGAAAATGAAGAAAGATACCATGAGCACTTTTATATAAAAAGTTCGTATACAGCGGTATATTGTAGATGTTCAAGAATTGTACAATAAAATTATACTTTCATTTAGTTCCGATGTCTTTAACGTTTTCTCAAATTGTATTTCCTTATTATTTCAGTCATTGAAAGTGAAAATATAAAGGCTATGTTTTGCATGCCATAATATTATTGTGGGAAATTTATTATACTGCCTATAGTATTACCTATCATGCAAATTCTTCCCATTTAATAGTAAGAAGTAAATGAGCTCAAATTAAATATATTCACACAAGAGACGGAATAATGAAGTAAGTGAAAATCAATTATTATAAATAACTAATTTATTACAAATATATATCTAGCACTAAATTTGCTAGGTTTATGTTGAGTTCGTTATATTTTTATATATGGATAATGTTTTAAACAGTATAAGATGACTAGAAAACGCGAGCATATTAATGTGCTTATGTACTGTTATATGAAATTCAAGGGTTTATAATACGTGCGAATTCAAAAAAAAAGCGACCATAAAAGTAGACCAACCATAAGAGTCAAACAATTATTGCTTCTTTTGTAATTAGCAATAATTGTCTCATCACAAGAACCCTTTTCATGCGGAATCCTACGTAAAAATAACTTATTGCAATTATAAATTATCATTATACAAAGATTTCCGGTTCAATACAAATACCCTACGTTGAATAATTTTACCGTCGCTTTCAATCACTTATTTTAATTAAAATTGGAAGCAATTTCTTTAGAAAATTTCTGTCTTATCCAAAAATTTGAAAACATTTACTACCGTACCACAGATAATAAAATTCCAACTTTATAATATTTTAGAATTGTACAACAAAGAGTAAAGAGTAAAAACAAAATTTTTTGATTTTTTACGATGATGTTAACGATGAACACAAGCTGTTATAAAGGTATCGTATAAATAAAAACAGAAGAAAAATAAAACACTTAAAATGATAACGGAATTATTACATTTTCACATTTATGATACCGTCATTCCAATTCAGTTTTTCTCTTCTTGCACAAAGTGAAGTGGAACAAAAATAATAAGAAACAGAAAAATTTTAGAGAGTAAAGAGAAATAATATTAAAAAAAAAAAAACAAAACTCCAAGAAACAAAAAGAAACAAAAAAATAAATGTGAAATTATTTGTAGGTAATTAGATAAAGTTATAAGTTATAAGCTGTCAGTTAATGAGATTTTTTAGTAGCATCAAAATGTCAAAATGGAATTATTAAACAAAATTAGTTAACTATCATTTAATATATTGTAAGAGAGAAGTAAGCATGTTATAAATATTTTAAATGAGTGCAGATAAAATGGAATTGGAATAAAATTAAAAACACTTATAGTTGAGTGAAAACAAGTATTTTTGTATACTAACATAATGGTGTAGACTTGTAGAATTTTATTGCATTTATCTTATTTATACTGTGAAATAAAAATTTAGAGTTAACACATTATAGGTAGCATTTAATATTTTAAGGCTAAATTCAATACATTAATAAAATAAAAATATTATTTATTATTAAAATTCGAGTCTATGCATTATTCGGACCAACTATTTTGAAGAAATAAATGGTAAAAACATGAAATTTAGCTCTGAGACGATAGCTCAGAAAAAAAAAGTTTTTATTGTGTGTTTTATATTTATAATCAATTTAAATTTCTAAGCACTACGATTTGAAATTTTGTAAAACTTATTTGACATTCTGACATTCTAATATAAATTTTTCGATCGACAATGTAATCGCATAGGTCCTTTATGTTTTCGGCAAAATAATCTATCAGCTTTGCGTTTCTTTCTAAATCTTCTTTCTGAATCATTAAAAAGCA